TTCTAGATCGAATACTCTTCACATAGAGTCCTTTATCTTGCTAACTCTGCATTATATATCTCTGAAGTTGTACTATAATAAACCATACTTATGGCACACTATAAAGCCTTTTAAAATGAGTCTTAAAGGTCTCCATAATTGAGAATTCAAGGATGTACCTTAACATGCCACATCTTTTAATTTTACTGCAGAATAGAACCCATGATAAAAATATGATATCTCTCAACTCATAAAGAGTTAATCTTCGAATCCTTTTGAGTATTAAAATAGACTAAATATGTATATATATAAAATAGTGCTTAGTTCCATCCCTAAATCATACCATTTAGTGAATATTCATTTTAGTGACATTTAAGTCACAATGCAATATTTTTAGTTGAAAATCAGGTTGAGTACCTCTCAATAAAAAATTTGTTTCTCGCAATCCGCAAAGAATTTCTTCTTGAAATCTTTTGTGTTGAAAACTAGACTCAAAACCAAATCATAACATCATAGTTTAAATCCCAAATAATATTTTTCTTCAGAGAAATAAATAAGTGACATTTACATCACAAAATATATCATACTGCAGAATTCCAGCATGAACACTGTCTAGTAAAATTGTCTTTTCTCTTTATCATCATGAAGTTTCCATTTCCAACTAATTTTGTTTGAAATTAGACACATAATAGTAGTAACGCATATATTTTTACAAGCCTTATATCACTCGGTTAAGTCGGCTTGTTAAATATAGTTATTCATGTCTTCAATGAAAGACATACCAAATTACAGAAAATTCAAAATGACCTCTTTTCAATCTAAACTTTTTATTCCTCTTCCCATAAATATTTCTCTCTCAAATAAATTTTATTACAAATTAGACTCAGAATGGAAGTCTAAAAACTTAGTGTAAACCATAAAGCATTTTGTTAAGAATAGAAATTAAATATTAACTTCCAAGTCTTAAAAATAATTTTCGTTGCAGAAAACAGCACTTGCGCATCTTTTAATAAATTGATCAAATCTTTCAAACTACAAGAACTTTCTTCATAAAATTTTTTTTTTTTTAAAGTAAACTCAATTTTATGAGTCATAGTCCAATTTCAGCTAGAAATAAAATCATATGGTTAGTGAGAAAAATCACGAAACTCAATGGACAGTTCCTGAATTTTGCATGGTCAAAATTGATTCATTGTTGAGTCCATAACTTTCAATTCCTATAGGATCTCCCACTGAAATTTTGCAGGTAAATCCTACTCTTAAATATACAAAATATCACTAAGTATGTAATAGAAAAATACATCATTATATTCTTCTTATCTCTACTCTAAAATAGCTCAGAATACTCATTATGTAGAGTTTCTTTTCGGTGTTAGAATATTTCAATAATTGTTAACTATTGGTGTATTTCTTGACCACAAAGGTCATTAGCTTTCTTATATCTCATTCCCAAACTTGATCTAAATTCAATAAAAAGAAAAGATAACTACTGGCATCAAGTATCAATAGCTCTTATACCAATGAAAGAAAGACCTATGTGATCTTTTACCAAGGAATACATTTTTTTTTTTTTTCTTCACCCCTTTCTTTTGGCAAAAGATCACTTACATGTGGTCTTTATTGGAATAAGATAAATTTTTAAATAAAATCAACATAACAATAAAATCAAGATCTTAACAACTTGATGCCATTGAAACAACTATGCACTATGCTTGAAAACAAAAGATAGGATTGTAAGAAACAAAAGGAAAAGTACCAGATATTACCTCAATCGGGCTTATTACACCCTACAACGAGTCACCACCATCTGATGGCGTGGGATCAACAGTCTAGCTTCAATCTCAAACTGGAAAAGCAAATTTCGGTCAAGCCACACCAATGAAACATGAACCCCTTTGATCACAAACTCAAACTTTAGGTGAATTCTCTTAGCAACCTAGTTTGAGAGAGAATGATTCTTTTTTTGGCTAAACCCTAAAACCTTTATCCATAAATCCATATTTGAAAGATATGAGAGAAGAACTCTATAACCTAAACCCTTATGTTCTTTCACAATGTGGGAGAGAGAGATCAAACATGAGAGAGAGAAACTTTCTTAAGAGAGAGAAATAGAAAGATAAGGTGTAGAGATTTTTTTTTTTTGAGTAGAGACCATCTATTTTTATAGGCTTTAAATAAGATTAGGGTTTCTTAGGATTTTCTTTGACTTGCATCTTCTTGTGAGATTGAACATAGATCGTCGATCAAGGGTGACTTGTGGGGTGAGAGATCTGAGCCATCCATTCTATAGATGGGTCATTAACATTATGGAATGTGTATGAACCATTATCCCCTTTTTCTAAACCATTTTCCCATCAATAGAAATTAAATCAATTAAATCTAATCAAAATATTGTGCTTACCATAAAATAGCACAAGTCTACTCAATCTTTCCACAAAATATTTCAAAGATATATCAAGTCGATATTTAGTCAATGTCTGCCAACCATATGGCACATGCCATATCACCAAAATATAAAAAAGAGAATAAGGAAGGGGCGTGCCACTCAAGGGAGGCACTCATGGGCCCCACCTTCTAAAAATATGGTGGGCCCATGTACACATTGGGCCCCCATAATATTTTTATATATTTAAAATTAATAAAAGGATTTTAGAATATTATTTGAATATTTAAACAATTATAAAATCAATATCTTTAATTTTATAAATCCAAAAATTATAAATAAAATATCCAGGGGTTCATAAAAATTCAAATAATAATCTTAAAATAATTTTCATTATAAAACAAACACAATTAAATTAATTTGATGGGAAAATAATCCATATGGTTTAGGAATCAACAATCAAAGGGCACTCCACTTTCAACGGTGGACTACAGACTACACTTATTTTATCAGACCGACCCAGTATTTTTCATGACCCACAGTCCAAGCAAGGGCTCATTAGCGGGTTACCAAAGTCCGGCCGATGAGTCAAGGGATCGCAATCCCAGTCTGTGGATTTCAGGTCCTCCCCTAGAGACGAGTCAATGTCACCTAGACCTAATGCGACCATAGCTCCTATGGTGCATCGGGGTATCTCTCGTACGTGCATATGCTTCATCTTAAAAGGTGAATTTTTGGCTTTTCCGAATGATCTATCGATATGCATGCCTTATGATGGCATCTCTGTAGGCCACCGTCATACACAAGGGTCACACAGTCCCTCGGCTCACACATCAGGGCATATTCTCTGACCTCATCAAGGGCTAACCCATTAGAACCTTTTTCGGTTTGTTCTTTATGCCTAGGTAATATGGGTTTTTCCCAACTGACTGGTTTAGATCGTCAAACACAGTTCGGTATCTGCAAACATCGTTTGCTTAGTATGGCCTACGACGGACCACACTCCCACTGAGTTCATGTTGCACTATATTATTTCATTTTACAAGCACTCATAACGCCTTTAAAGGCCTGAAGAACTCCAAATCAATTTCCTCTGTAATGACAACCGTGGACCTTCCATTTGTTCTAAATAAGAACTAAATTTTCTAGAGCTCACCATAATCTTCCTTTTTCTCTTCTTTTTTTTTTTTCTCTCAAATCTTGATCGAAAAAAAAAATTGGGGGGTGTGGTGGGGGGGAGGGGGGAGGCAATTTTGGTTCTTAGAATTCCTCTAACATGGTGTTGTTTGAACCTGTTAAACTCGAAAGTGACCACCGTCCCTTTAGAGAAACAATTATCATGTTAAGCACATATATCGAAGGGCGTGTATATTATTCTCACACTTATTCTCTTAGGTAAAAGATCCACTTAGGACTTCTTCTTTTTTTAATGATATTCTATGATCCTCCTTAGAAACAGTAGACGATTTCTTTTATAGAAGAATTGAACTTTCGAGTTCTTAAATAATTAGTTTTGGCCGTCAAAAATTGGACAATCTCTATTCAGTTTTAAGACATACCTTTTTTTTTTTACGGCCTGTTTCTGTTTCAAGTTGCTTTTTCAAATTGGTTGTTGGGTTGAAGAGGTTATATCCCCAAAATATGGGGTCCTAACAATACTGAATATAAAATGAGTTTTGCATGAGGGAATCATCATTATCATCATAGTCTTTTTCAATTAATTAAGATCAACTATACAAATCTTGATCCGTCATTCTACTCTATTAAAGTTCATACCGTCAGTAAAGCTGTAAGTCCTAATATCTTTTCTCACTAGCTTCTTGAGTCTTCCACTTGAACTGACTCGCACCTCCTAACAAATGTTGTATTGAGCTTGCGCCACACAAACCTGAGAAAATGAATTATGAAAATGCTCCACAAGATGGGAAATCTCTTGGCTTTATTGAAATTGCTACCAAATATTTAAACTCAATGATATGCTATCATCAGGTACAAATTTCCCAGATAGTAAGAGTACCTCATTGAATTTATGGTATCTTCTTATTCTACCACCTCTGTTTCTCTCACAAATCTCCAAAAAACTTAAAAAGGTAGCTCCACTTTTTTTTTTCCATCACATTATGCCCTTCGGAAATATTATTAAAATAGTCCAACCACCTCAACACATTAATCAGATAGTTAAATCAACCAATATAGTAAAATCTCTTTCATTTAGGTGCCGCCTCAAGAATTTTGTTAAAAGAAACCCTAAATTGCTATTATTCTAGGTTTGTATCCCTAAACAAGCAGATAATTTTTTATAATTTCACCTGAGCTGAGTAAATTAAGTACCAAATGTGTTTGGGCTATGAAACTTTGGCAGATGTATTTAATTCATTTAACTCACTTCACTAACTTAAATGGCCAAATCATTAAAATGGCCTAACCTGTTCCAAATTCTAAACACATAAAAAGGGCAACTTGAATATTTTCTAACGAAATAAATGAAGATTAGGTGAAGTATAATTTTTAGAAAATAACAACTTTATTGACACGCCAAGAAATAGTATGACCATTTTATTGATATTTTCCCTATGTTGCATTTCAAAGTGAACTGTGACCTCTCTGACATCACTAAAATGTGATTTTGGGGATCGAGTAGAGTGAGGGGGTTTTTATTTCGATGAATTATATAAGATTACAATTCTTATAATAATCAAATGGATTCAGTTTTCACATGAATCCATTAATTCAGTAAAACACAATCACCATTCACCAGTCCATTCTTTCTAAGAAGAGTTTATAGCTCAAGGCCATTATTATCACAAAACACCATTATCAACCAATTTCTCTCCCAAGTATAAATAGTTTTCTAAACAATTTGATGTGGAAAGGGGTGAATTTAAGGCCAAAAGTCACCCTCAGAAAGGCTCAGGCAAAAGATGATCCCAGTGTGATTTTACCATTGCAGTCCACTTGCACTACTATTGCTCTTTGTGTTGTCATTCAGAAATCCAGATTCTCCGGTGGAAGGAACATTAATAACCTCCTGCAATAAATTTTCCAAAGTTCAAATGATATGAAAATAAATGCATGCATACATCTATCACATTTTGAGGATGTGGGAGTACCTAAATTGCTTGGACAACCATGTACTAGTATAGGACATACATAAAACACACACAGGGACTGCTTATTGGTTTGTGTCAGCCCACTCCATGGACCTGGAGGGTCAGGTCCAGTTCCACTTGAGATGGATCAGGTCGTTTCGTGGTCCAGATCGAGCCGGATATATATGTACATCCATACGGAACATGGAACATGGAACATACGAATTACAAATATAGGAGACCTATGCCACATCCAATCATATGTACGCTACATGATCTCATATGTTATGGGGCTGCAATGGCTTTGTGATAATTGATGAGTTTCTATATATGTGAAATGAAGACTACAGAAGATACCTTATCAAATGCTGAATATAATTGAAGGTGCTTGGTAATATGACAGGGAAAATTATTTATTGGCACCTATTTCGCTGCGAACAGGATAAAAAACAGGTCCCTCAATGGTTTGATGTCAACAAACAGGCAGTTAAGAGGGGACTTTGTTCCTCTTCTCCAGCCAGTTCTTGACATCAGGTGGCTAAGGAGCCTCTGAGTAACATGTCTAAAACCAAACAAGTACTATAATACATGGGCTTGTAATAATATGTTTTGTAAGTTTCTTTGAATGCCTGTGCATATTAATGGAGGCCAATTTGTTCTATGCATATCCTGACTTTGCATTTGATTTTTTACACACAGCACCATGAGAGTAAGAGAGAACTCATGTAACTTTCCGCAAAAGGCTAAACAATACGAGATTACCTGATAGCTCATAGCATGTGTGTGATGGAAGTACAGTCCCATCTGCGGCATCTTCTCATCAGCAAGGGTCCTCAGCCTGCAGAGCTCTGGCAGCACAACCCCTCCGAGATCAGGCCTGTCCTTGCGCCTAAGCTCTGCACATCTCAGTGCCAGCCTCGCAAACTTCATGGTATCCTCCATCGGCCAGTCCTTCACCGTTGGGTCCAACATCTCCCCAAAGCTCCCCTTCTCCATTGACCTCTCCATGTTGTGCGCCAGCCCCATCGGAGGCTTCGAAGAAATCAACTGCAAAAGTATGATCCCAAGGGCATAAACATCAGACTTTATTCCCAACATACCCGTCTTTTGATACTCAGGGTCGATGTAGCAAAAGGTGCCTGCCGCGGCCGTCATCCTATATTGGGTAACAGAGTCGGCGACAGAGGGGGGGACAAGGCGGGCGAGACCGACATCACTGATCTTGCTGACAAAGTTGTGATCAAGGAGGATGTTGCCAGGCTTGAGATCGCGGTGCACAAGGGGCTCAGGCTTTGTCTGGTGAAGGAAGAGGAGGCCCGTGGCAATCTCAGCGGCAATCTTGAAGCGCAGCTGCCAGCTGAGGGTGGGAGTGTTGGCCCGACGAAAGAGGCAGTCCTCAAGGCTGCCATTGGCCATGTATTCGTACACCAGGCACCCGTACTCGGGGCATGCGCCGAGGAGGAGGACCATGTTCGGGTGCCTGATGCAGCTCAGCACCTCAACCTGTTCCCAAAAAGTCCAAATTCAAATCTTAGAGAGAGAGAGAGAGAGAGAAAATCACAGACTAAGTTCCATGAGAGAGCAAGAAAGTTATTTAATACCTATGACTGATCTCTATAATGACCAAGGCAGCCAATTTGCATAGAGCTAGATTTGAAATGAGAGAGGGAGAAGCATACAAAAACATCTGGGACAGAGTTAGGTTTATTAAATACGTGTGAATGATCTCTCACTTACTTCATAATAAGTTCATACATATACGCTCTTCCAAAGAATGTGAAATGCAGCAAACCATTTTGATGTGAGAGGAGATTGTATAAAACCACACTTGCAAATATGAGTAAGAGAGCTGGAATCCTATATGAAACTCTACAAAAACATGGACATAAATGCACACACACAATGTACAGCTGTAAAGGCCCTTTAAGTTCTACACGGAATCATCTAGCAGGATATGAGGTTGTAGTTGAGACCAACATCAGTCTCTATATGGATGCTATGAAAAAACCAGAAGGTAGTGATGGTACATGCTGGTCATGAAGGTCCCTTTTTGTAGCATTTATATAACACAAACTCAAAGTAACCTCAATGTTCCAAGGAAAGATGCGGCAATGCTACTAATGCATCCACTTGGGTGTCCCAAGAACTTGTATGGTTATGCATGTGAATGTGTTCAAAAGAAGAAATAAGTCATGCACCTGACACCTCTCTCTCTCTCTCTATACATGATTCAGGCAGATTGGAAGGAACATCAATGAAATGAAAGGGAAGACTCACTCAGCAAAGTGAGGTACATTCATTTGTTAGTTTCTAAAAAACTTGTAGCGATACCATATATGTGTGTGCATCCTTATTTAATCATAGGATGATCATAGAAATGGATAACACAAACACAATCATATAAAACAGCATAAGGCTTACCTCCTGCTGAAATTGCTTCCTTCCTTGAGCTGCATCCGGCCGCAAAATCTTGATGGCAACCAGTGTATGGTCAAGAGTCGCCTTGTACACAGGTCCATACCCACCTTCACCAATCTTGAGGGACGCATTGAAGTTCTCAGTCACCTTCACAATCTCTTCAATCGTGTATTTCCTATACCTCACATCAACCTCCCAATCCTGGTCCTCTGTCTTCGATGTCTTCTCAGCACTTGTCCTCTTGCTAGCCTCTAGCTCTGCCATCTTTTTCGCAGCTTCTGCAGCATCAAGCAAAACTTGGCACCTCTGCTTCTCCTTTGCAGCGACCTCCAATGCCGCCTCTTCGGCCTTTCTTGCCTTTTCAATTTTCTTCTCCTCTTCCATCTTCCATGTTAGAATCTCCTTATCCTGTTTCCAAAGACCAGTTGAGACAAATTACTCCTTCCCTTCCTCCCTCCCTGCATCCATCCCACCCACACGCACACCCACACCCACACCCACACCCACACCCACACTCACACCCACACCCACACCCACACCCACACCTACACCCACACCCACACTCACACCCACACACACACAGGAAATGAGCGTACATAACTAGGTCACGACTTAAAATACACCCTCCCTTTTCACACATCATCTTTTGAAATATAGCACCCCAAATCCTCTAGTTTTCACATCATCTTTTGAAATATAGCACCCCAAATCCTCTAGTTTTTGTATTCCATAGTTTGTAGTACGTTCATAGTTTTTCTCTTAACATTACAAAATGATAAGCATTTCGGATATGCAAATTTGAGTGTTTATACCCCATTGAGAAATTGATGCACATGATTATAAGAAACATTGTGGTAGTTTATTGAATTAAAAACGACGAAGCTATGATTAAAATGAAGAGACTCGTAAACAGAACCTTCGCATTTGCATTTACAGCTTCTTTGTAGGCCGTGTTGTACATCTCCATGGTCTGCTTCAATTCAAGCCGTAATCTTCTAACCTCGGCATTCACATCTTCCTGAGATTAAATCACATTGTTTAAGCATACAAAAAGAAAGAAAATCACATAAATTGATCTCAATACAATAAAGCCAACATATATTCATGCCAATTGATCATTCTAGTAACTCATCAGTACATTAACCACCATGACAAAACTACAAATATAAGTAACAATTACAGGACGTTTTTTGTAGGCTACCAGCAACTACAGAAATCAGATTACTTCATTCAGTTTTCAGCATTTTCAATATTTTGGTTCAACCAGACAAGTATTAATTACTAGTTACTGTCTTTCTTGTCAAACTGCCCACTCTAATAATATCTTGGAAATAAAATACAGTAAAGTATTACGATTGGGATTGTCTACAAAGAGATCATTTACTTTTTGTACAAGGAGGTCATAATCATTCTTGTCCTTTTGATTTCAAAATGGGTAGTTGTAAGAGTGCCATTGATTAGATACAAAGTTCCAAAAAAATTTCTCGGACTTCGTGACTCACCCCTAGCCATCAAATTTGACATCCAATGAGTGGGAATAGTCGTGACCTCCTTGTACAAAAGATAAATGGTCTCTTTGAAGACAATCCCATTAAGATTTTGAAAAACTAATGTATAGGGAAACAACTGAGCATACCACAGAAACGAGTTGGAGCTAAGTATATACTGACTTTGTAAAATAGAGAAGTTTGCCGTATAATTAAAAATTTCCATGTAGCGCACCAAGAGAACTCAAGTTACTCTTGAGCCTTTCAAACTCAAGTTACTCTTGGGCCTTTCAAGCTGCTAGATGTACCCCTGATTCTTTTACAAAAATGGAGAAAATAAAAGATATTCATAATCCAGAAATGTGGGAGTCTGTGCAAGTCAATTTCGAGAAAAACAAGTAATGCAACCTCTCATTTCTTAATTTATACTTAGTCTCTTATTTATATTTATTCAAAGATAAACGCTTGATCTTCACAAATTACGCAACTCTGTGAAATACAATGCTTCTCTTCTTTCACACTCACTACTAGAACACAGCAAGGGGGCATAAGCTTCAAAGAACCTTCCCTTTAAGAAACACCCTTGATTCCCATGGACTTAGAAGGCCACCATTAATCCTCCAGACCACCTATGAAACCCTCAATAAAGAATCTCCGGATAGAATCCAGGCACATGTTCAACATCATAATGGGTTGACATCTGTACACCATAGTTTTCTTATATGACTAAATAGTAATATGGTAACTATAATGGTTCAATTCGCTCAATCAATTAAAATGAATTGGTGAGTTCATATGTTTTAGCTTTATTTAATGGAAATTGAAAACCATCCAAACTATTTGCCCAAAAAAAAAAAGAAAACCATGCAAACTTTTATTTTATTGTTATCACGAGGGTTTATAAGGTCCAAGAAGGGTAAATTAACCCCATGACTCCTACTCAACAACCTTCCTTTTGCCAAATCCAAGATTTTCTTAAAAGATTAGTGATTTTTGAAATTACTTACAGAAGTCCTCTTTTACTAGGGCTGAAATTTTTTTGGTTTGGGTCCCAAATCCACCAAGATCCGGATCTAGATTAGTTCCAATTTTGTATATGATAAAGTTAAAATATAATTATAAATTTTAAAATAATTATATTATATATATATATATATATAAATTAATAAATATATGAATTATAACATAGGGAGAATATGAGCTTAGCCCACTGGCTGAAGGCTACAGTGTAAGCCCAATGGCCCAGATTCATTACGTATTTGAATTTTAGTTTTTTTCTATAAATCCAAATCACTTGAAATTTGGAGCGTTTATCGTTTAAATATAGGAGAATCTAATAAAAATATAAAAATAAATAATGTGTACAAATAAATTGACCAAAATGCTCCTGAAACTTTTCAGGGGTATTTCGATCAATTTAATTTTTGCAAATTATTTTTTTAATATTTTATTAGGTGCGCTTTGATGACAAGAATGGACACCTCAAATTTCATGTGATTTGGATTTGTAGAAATAATACGATAATTATATTAAGAAATGAAGTCATGACTGTCACATCGACCCAGATTCGATCTAGGCTGTTGGGCTTACATTATTCCATCAGTCCATGGGCTAATAGGATATTTTATAATAGTATATATTATATTTAAAAAACTGGGTTGGATCCGGATCGGATCAACCTATACCTGGATCCGGTATGAATTACTATTCAGATGTAAATTTTGGATCCGGATCCGAATTTCGGATCCAAATCTTGGATCCATACCTTGATCCGAATAGGATCCGAATTTCAAGTTTCGGATCTGGATTGGGTAAATTCTCAGAGCTATCTTTTACATAGAAAGATGAAATTGGACAGTAATTCATAACCATAACAAAGTCAATCTTACCACTGATTGCATAGACCATTGAGCACTGTTGTTTTCTTGCGAAACCGGTGACTGCTCATGCCCACTAGATCCAGAACCATTAGACCAGTAAGCTCCTCCACTTCTTAATGACTCGAAGCTTCTCATTTGGTCTTCACTGGATTGATCCCCATTGTATCCATGGGAATTGGGAAGTCTCAAAGGCCTGCCTCCTTCCAAATGATCACGAAGAGAGACACCTGCCCAGTCTGAGTTACTCTGTCCAGGACTCATGCTATGGTAAGGTACATCATGATGTCCTGGACCTGGACCTGGACCTGGACCTGGATATGAGCCATATTGGGATGCCGGATGTATTCTTTCGTTCATCCTATTCTCGTATGCCCTCCCACCAGTTACAGGAATTCTCTCAAAGGAAATACCCATTCTTGCACTTCTAGCAAATGGCGACCTAATGGCAACATCTATAGTTAAGTCTCTTTTTTTTTTTTTAATAATAATATGCACAGTCTATACAAAGCTTCACCATGAATGATGTCAAGCTTCCAACCCACAGTATGGAAAAACACGAGGATAGCTTTAATGGGACTTACTTGACAGTATCATCTACATGATTTTGCCTGAAATCAGGTTCGCCTGTTATTTACAATGACATTTATGAACTCAAGCTTTCACATGTATAGGAAATATACCAACAAACATATTAATCTCAAAAATCACGAAATCAGTTCAAAAAGTTCAAACTCGTTACTTTTTGTAGACTGAAATGAGTGGTTTTCGTTGCCCTCAAACTTGTTGCTCGGCTGCCGGTTGATAGGATGCTTGTTAGGACGAGGAGCAGGACGTATCGATGAAATTTTTCCTTTTGCTATCACATAGACGGTACAGAACTCGGGAGCAGTCTTAGAGACACAAGTAGGGACATCAGGCTGCTTGAAAGTCCTGAAGAAATTGTCAAAGGTCACAAAGGAAAGCAAGTGCTTGATAAGCATCATGTTTTCATGAAATATCACAACAGAAAGTGCATATCACTTTTGCTTGGTAATTTTTTAGTCCTCTAACAAGTTTGAAAGAACAAAAAGAGATCTAAAACTTAATGAGACTACCCTAATATGAGGCATTATCATAGTTTTTAAAGAAATTTGGTTTGCTGAATGTTAAAAAGTAACAAGGACACTTTGATCATTTTTTTAAACAAAAGAGGATATATAGCTACCATTAAAGAGAACACTACCATTGGTTATAAAGGCTAATAGAACTTATGCTAGAACCTAATGCTGAATATTGCCAAAACAAGCAAAAAAATCAGTGGTTAGAAGCATGCATCGATATAAGGAAATAATGAATCATGGATCAAATAAACAACTGAAGACTAGACTGCATGAGAATCATAAGGCACCTGGTCAATGCATTTCTGGATGAAGCACCTAGAACAAGTTTATCGACAGATTGATTCATAATATAATCAACAATGGCCTTTGGCACATCAACATCATCTAATACAACCTCCTTGCAATGTAGCTGGTACATCATGAATAACATGAGAACAGAACTACAAAAAATGAGCGGAGCCTCTTCTTTTTACGAGTAGGTAAGAATCCAAATCATAAAAGTTAAGCTAGACATGTAAAAGGGAAAGCCATGAAAAACAATTGCCACTAGCATACCCCTCTCCGACTGCAAAAGCATTGAAAAGGAAGGAGTAATTCTTTGGTTTGAGCTGCAACTTGTTCCTTATAAGCATTTGCCACATCCTCAGCCACATCAGAAATGGGATGCATTTTACCCACTACAGCACACACAGAAATTGTGACATGTTAGCAAGAATAATGACCAGTGCTTCAAGACTCGGCTGAGGCGAGTTCGAATGGGCAGCTCTTGCCTCTTTAAAATGATTAAAAAGTCCTATGTTATTTTCTTGTACACTGCTCAGACAAGTCTACTTGGACTCTGCCAAATTACCTGGCTCAGAACAGGGATGAGTCTGAGGCCCGAGCAGAGTTTAAAGGCATTTATAATGACCATATAAATCAAATACATTGGGAGGAGATAGGGTTAATGCCACTAATGCTAAAACAAATATTCAAAAGAATTAAATAAATAGTCAACAAAGTAAGTTGTTCATGTGGAATGACGGATCAGATGCACAAATAATGAAAAATTAACCATGAGTTTTGAGTTAAAAGGAATATTTTGTAACGGAAAATAGAGATTCTCCTCTAACATACATCCATACATACGCAAGCATATCTATTCTGCATATATTAAGCTACAGTTAAGGATAGGATAAGTAGCATTCAACTAAGGAACAACGCCATTGAATGAGAGAGTTTAGGGTAGAGCCCTTTATTGAGAAATTGACAGAGAGTCTAGGGTGGAGCATATGACATTGAGGCTGAGACTCTCCCTTTAAACACAATCAAAATCAATTCCCCAATATTCTTGCTCTCTCATCATAATACTCTCTATTTCTACCAATATTATCACTCTTTCACTCTAATCCAATCCAAATGTTGTCTGTTTTAGTAGGAAACTAAATATCTTCTAATTGAATCAAAGACAGAAATAGATATCCATATTATCAATTTCTGTATTCTCTTTCTTTCCATATTCTTTCCTAATACAAGAACTCAATGTTCTCTCTCTCTCCCCACTGCTCCTCTCTTGTATCACTCATTCATATATATGTGGTGCATATAAACTCCTCCAAACCATGCTTCACGCACTTATTTATTTTGAGCTTCAAAAGCACATGCTTTAATTTTTAGTTTAATTATAATAAATTTATTAGAAGGGAATTTTCTTTAAAATAATGATTTGAGATGTGTTGATAACAATAATCATTGTGCGTCATCTACATTATTTTCTGATTTTTCCATTGATTAATAGAATAAATATGTTATTGTTGGGTATTTAATTCAAAAGATTATATTTTTCATTGGATGTTAGGACTAAAATACATATGCATCCATCTAGCAAATGGGAGCTTCCTAACCTCAATAACGCCCCAAAACCAATATTCAAAATTAAAGGAGGATGTAAAGATTTTAACTGCTAAATTACAAAAAACGGACGAATACATACATAAATACATATGCATAAATGTATCACATGCTAACATGTCTCTGCAAATATATGTTTGTTTTGTTATGCTGGATTTAGGAGGCATTAATAACCCATCTTTCTAACTAAATTCAGTTTCAGTTTGGTCACATAGAAATGCATACTAAGCATATTTAATATCTCAATAATGACACCTAATTTCTTCAGAACCCTATCGCAAGACTGAGCAGTGGCAAGACAGAATGAAAGAGGCCAAACCCTCCAATGGATTTGGAAGGAGAGAAAAAAACAGAAATTCTTGTCAAGACCCCCTATAGAAGAAGAGTCAACTAACATGACTAAAAGGGGCACCACAAACTTGGTGATGGTGATACAACAACTCTTCAACAATTCTCCAAAATATATATATATATATATATATATATTAAACAATTATGGACCCGAGTCATTGGCGACAACAAGATGATGGCCAATCACCAAGGAAGGGGACCTTACCTCTCTTTTGATGGATGCACTAAAGGAAATCCAAGATCGACAAGTAAAGACAATATTTTTAAATGCATTGCTAGGGTGATAAGGAAGAGAAATTCCACAGGGACAGAAGATGATGTGCTATTAATAAGTGTATGCCTTAAAAGACATTGCTATTAAAGATTATTGTAGGTAGTTTTGTCTTTAGTCTGCTAGTCCAAAATCCCTTGGAGACTGGAGAAAATTCTGAGGGAGGGCAGAGAGGTAAGAGGGTTGGATATTAGAGAGAGTTTTTGCTAGTGAATTTTGAGGCCAGTAGGGTACTGTGATAAGGAAGGGCAGAGAGGTGTGGGAGATCTTACCTCCTCAATTTAGCAATTCAAATGTATAACTTCAATAAGCATGTCCATGATCTAGCAGCGTATTGACATGCAACAAAATACTATATGCGTGCCTGACACTCTAAGACATTTTTGCTTCATTGTTTTTTCCTTCTTTCCTTTTTTTCTTTGAATATCACTATGAATATACTTATTGGTCCTTTTTACATCTCTCCTACTCTAATTGATGTATGGACATGTCACATCTAACAGCTCATTTCAGAGCTAGTGTTTTTAACACATGTACCCATGTCAGATCCCAAAATAGGCATTTGGAGTATCATAAAGTGGGCTCCTTTATTCGTTCAAATTTTGCATTGCTTCCATCAACTTTTTATCACTCATCAGAAAACAAATGTTGGTATCGTAACAAAAAAAAACAACTAAAGCACTTTAATTATCTTTTAATATTGGGAAAATAGTTGATTTATAAAATAGCCGACCCTAAATAGTTAGGAAAAGGTTATGATGATCATGACCGAAAACAATAGCCCAACTTAAAAATTATGATTTGTAAATGATTAATGTGTTTGTATGTCGTGTCATCAAAATCATCAAAGGCTATTCCCAACTATTTAGGGTCAGCTACATGATTCCTGGTCCTCCATTCTACTCTATCAAGAGCCATACCCCATATCTTCTCTCACTATTTTCAACCATGTCCTTTTAGGCCTACCCCTTGTCTTTTTTGAGTATTCCACTTGATTAAACTAATACCTCCTAACAAGTGTTGTACTGTGAAAGTGTTGTACATGGCCAGCCCACCTAAGTCTATTTTCTCTCATCTTATTGTCTATTGGAGCCACACTTGCGTTATCTTAAATGTATTGATTTTGAATTCTATTCTTTCTTGTCTTGTCATTCATCCATCTCAACATCCTCATCTCAACTACACTCATCCTATTAGTATGTTATTTCTTGACAGCCTAACATTCCACCCGATAAAGCAAAACTGGTCTCACAACTATCCTATAGAACTTGCCCTTCAGCTTCATTAACACATCTCCACTTCGCCACTCAACTCTAATTCTATGTGCGACATCTTTCTCAATCCCTCCATTTCCCTAAATTATTGACCCAATATATCAAAAGTGTACTCTTTTTGGTATTTCTCGGCCATCAATATTAACTACTTCCTCGTCTCTACTTGTATTATTACTAAATTTGCATTTTATATATTTTGTCCTAGTCTGGCTGATTTTAAAACCTTTAGATTCTAGAGCATCCCTCCAAAGTTCTAACTTTGTGTTGACATTACTTCAAGTCTGATCGATCAAAACTATGTCGTCCACAATGAACATACACCATGGCATCTTGTAAGTGCCTAGTTAAGTCGTCCATAATTAAGACAAAGAGGCATGGGCTCAACGCTGACCCCTATTGTGAGCCTATTGTTATTGAAAACTCACTCATCTCTCCACTAGTTGTTCGAACACTAGTTATTACTCCCTCGTATATATCTCTGACCACGTTGATATAACATCTAGAGACTCCTTTCTTTTCCAACACCAACCAAATTAAATCTTGAGGTACTCTATCATAAGCTTTCTCTAGATCAATAAAGACCAAAATGACCTACAATTTTGTAAGTAACAATTTTCTGGGTAGGCATATACAAAACACACTATGCACCGAAACGGCCAAGCCCATATGTTCTCTAAAGGGTTATTCTAGGCTAAACAACCCAATGGTGAACCTAGAATTTCCTATTTTGAAATTTTTTATTGCCAAATGCCCTTGCAAGTATAACCTGATTCATTCGTCGACTCTGTCTGAGATTTGGATATGATGATTCAAGAAGGGGTGCTGGCAAACTTTGTGATGGCCTAAAAAATTGTTTTCATCCATGATCATAAAATTTAAAGCTCTAAAAATGGAGCAGATTGAGTAGACATATAAACACTTAAGAATATTAAAAAATACAGTCTGCATATGCGCTACAAGATGCATTGTTTTCAAGACTTGAAATCAATTTTTTCATATCCATACATCTCGAAGTCAAGATGATCAATTGGAAGGTTTGTCAATGTCATAATAACAATCTATTTTGGTGGGTTTTGAGGTGAGCCTTACTTGTACAATAATAAGGTTGACACCTTATGTAAAACTTCTCCTTCAAAAAGTCAAGAGTATTTTTTTTAATTTGAAATTAAATTTTGGGGGATTTATTAATAACATAGACACCCTTCCTATAATTCATGAACTAGCTATGATCAAAAGTCATTTTTTGGACATATAAGGGCATTTAATTGTCAAAAAATTTTTGAGCAGAAAATTCTAAGTTCACCATTAAAGTAGTATATCCCAGTATAACCCTTCTATAAATGAGAAACAATCTGGTAATTTTCTTTCACGTATGAATAAAAAATAAAAAGCATACCATTTACTTGTGGCACAAGGAGGTCAAAATCACTTTGGGCCATTAGATTTCAAATCAGGTAGATGTAAGAGTGTCCCTAGCCAAACTTAAAGCTAAAAAAAAGTAAAAAATTCTTGAATTTTGTGGCACATTTCAAGCCATCCAATTTGGCATCTAATTCCTAGATCAATTATGACCTCCTTGTAACAAATATAAATGGTCTCATACTATACAATCCTGATATAACATATATTCATTCAGGTCTTAAGGGCATGTTTGAGAACAAGAAGTTAGGAGGAGGAAGAAGGAACTTCCCCATTACTGTACAAATCGGGCGTTTGATGCAAGGAACTTATGCAGTAAAGAAATTCCCCCATAACTTCCTTACTCCCGTTTGCTTAAGAAGAAAAGTTCCATCTAAAATGATGGAATTTAAAATAAGAACTTGGCCGTCAAAGAGGGCTTCTTCTCCAAACCCTATTATACATCCCTCCTTCTATATTCAAATAGTTAATTTATATTTGTATTATATTATATTATATTATATATTTTTTATTTATATTATCTATAATACATAAATATCATATAATATATATATTATAATAAATATATATATCACATATTATATATAATACTTATATACATTAATGAAATAACTATAAAAGGAAAAAGTTTATATAAGGTTGCAACCTTAAATTGTAGAATCAAAGATGCACCTCAAAAATCCATCGGAAAAGTTCTTTTAATGTTGAAAAACCTCTAATTGATCATCTGAACATTGAGATATATGAATATAAAAAAAAAAGATTTTGAGTCCTAAAAATAGTGCATCTTGCAACACATTATCTAGACCGTCCATTTTTAAAAAATTTATATGTTTATAGATCTACTTGATTTTAACTATTTTTTTAGTTTAAAAAGTTTATAATTAGATACGAAAATAGATTTTAAGATAATCCTAAAAAACATTTACCCCAAAATTACATTTCATGATAAAATTTGGAGGTGGGCCTTAATTGTTTAAGGTTGCAATCTTATAGAAACCACATCCAATACACACTACACCATATTATATATTATATGGGATTGTATACAATGAGACCATTTACCTTTGATATAAGGAGGTCATAATTATTTATAACCATCCGATTTGAAATATGATAGCTTGGATGTGTCACAGAGTTCAAGAAAATTTCTTTTGAACTTTGAGCTTGGTCACTGCAATAAATGCAGCCACGCAATTTCGTATCCAATGGTCAAGATAAATTGTGACCACCTTGTACCAAAGATAAATGGTCTTATTGCATACTTTTCCATATTATATTATATTATATATTTATATTTGAATTGTTAATATATTTTTATATTATTTTAAAATTAATATATATCTGTATTATATACTATATTTTATTTATATAATAGTTATTTACAATACAATTTATATTATATATTATTTTATATTTAATATATAATATTTAAATATATATTCCAACATGTTGCCAAACACAGGTAACTAGAATTTCTTTAACATTCCAGCAGGTTATCAACCACAAACAACCAGAACTTGGTAGGATGAAATAGAACTCGGGAGAATGAAATGATAGGATAAGTTAAGGAATATGCAAAACTAAAAAACAAAAAAGGAATATGTGAATATGTTCCAAGCTAGCAGTTAGATTCTAAACAGTTTGCCATCATCTCAATTGGTTCTAAAGGAAGACATGAAATGCAGAGAGAAAGAGAGAGAGACAATGATACAGTCACACACTACAAAAACAAGAAAGAAAATATATGGGGTGGCAAACAAGTAAACATTATAAATCACATCTGTCAAATAAAAATCATGTTAATTAGCCTAGAGAGAGAAAGGAAGGTGGGAAGAGAGAGAGAGAGACTGACTTGGGGTGGAGATGGCGGTGACCTTTCGGTGAATATGGAGAAGGATGAAGAGTTGGCCTTTCCCAATAAGGTGGTCCGAAGCCCATTTCAGAGCGTGCTGACTGCTCTTATCACTGTCCACCGCCACGGCGACCAGCTGATTACGGGCCTCTGAATCTCTCTTCTCATGATTCACAGATTTCCACATCGTCCTCCCCACCCCAATGTTTTCCCCCTTCTCTTCTCTCTCCTCTTACCTCTTTCTCTCGCTAACCCCCCCTTTTGAATTGGGGGGTCGTGTTTGGTTTGTGAAGATGGGGGGCCTTTCTGCTCTGGTTGTTTTGATTCTTGGGTTAGAGAGAGAAAGAGAGATGGTGGTTTTGGTGGGGTGAGGAAGGCCATGGGTGTAGAGAGAGAAAAAAATGGCAGAACAAACAATCCGAAGAATGGGGCGAGGGTGTAGAGAGAGAAAGAGAAGGGACTTTGAAATCCCCAAGAATAGGAAAGGAAGGGTGGGAGATGTTTGTTTCTGTGTCGGAGTAAAACTGAACATCAAATTTTGGGATTTGCCATTAAATGATGATTGGACAATTGCTATTGAAAACACTTAAAAATTAATTGGACCAGTGGGAGTGGCAACAGATGGACATGGACCTGGACCCGACCGAGATCCAGGTATGGGTCGACAAATTGGACCCAGTGGTTTGGGTCCGGGTCCAAATCTTAGATCCAAATGCAAATCGGGTCTGGTTTCGGTTTCACATATATTTGGGTCCTAATTTATGAAAAAAAAAATTCTTTTGGGGGTGAGTGGCACTTACCTTAGGAAGAATTGAGCCTAGGACTTAGCGCTGCAAATCATCAAATGCTAACCAATTAAACCCAAGCTCTTTTCTTATGAAACATAGTTAAATATATTTAAATACATATATATTTTAATTTTGGGTCAGGTCCAATTAAGTCTAGAGTTCCACATTATATTTTGGGTCCGGGTCCCATAATACTTTTTTAGGTTCGGGTAATACTTTTTCGAGTCCGGGGAACCCGGACCCGACCCGACCCTTTGCCACCCCTAGTCAAGACCAGGGCCTGACCAAAAAACCTATATATAGGACCCAACCCAGACCCGAACAGAACCCGGTCTAAAGTCTCCCCACCTGGACCCAATGAAAATTGATTGGGGCTGACCATGACTCCCGTCTACTGGCGAGTTCGACAATGGAACTTAAGATCCAACCAAACCCTTTCCTCCCTGTGGAGTCTAGTTCCGAAGGCGTCACTTGACTAAAACTCTTGGTTCCCATACACACTGCTGGTTTTCTTGACAACCTTGCCAAATATGATTAGCATGGCTTTAAACACAAAGGGCCAAGCTCTAACGTTTAAGATAGACTTGGACCTGCCCGACTTAAGTGGTTAGGTCCAAGTCAAGTGGTCCTAGAACCGACCAGGTTGGGTCAAGTCCATAGAGTCAAATACATTTCGGAATCAATTAATAAAATTAAAGTTATAAAATTTATAGGGATTGTATACATTGAGACCATTTACAAGGATGTCACAATTACTTACAACCGTCCGATGTGAAATTTAATAGCTTGGGTGTGTCACAAAGTTCGAAGAAATTTCTTTTGAACTTTGAATTTCTTCAATAAAATAAATATAGCCACTCAATTTCATATGCAATGGTCAAGATTAATTATGATCACCTTATACCAAAGATAAATAGCCTCATTATATACTTTCTGAAATTTGTTTCTTACATGTAAAGGTACTGTTTATATGAGGTGTTAAATTTAAAAATACTAAAAAATAATGTTTGTGATAAGATGTAGTTCAAAAGCTCTATGATAGTATGGAAATGGAATTCCACTCCTAATTATAAAATTGAAAGCTTCAAAAATTATGGAGAATGAGTAGATTTATATACACATGAAAATCTTGAAAATGGATAGTCTAAATAATGTGTTAACAAAATGCATTATTGTTAAAGCTTGAAACATATCAGGAAGAGCCGTGAGAGGTACAGGAACTGTTTCCGACTGACTCAGTGATCAAAGATTATCAGAAATGGCAAATTTCCTTAGGACTATATCCAATAGAACAACTTCTTCTTCTAATAATACACTACGTGTAAGAAATAGAGAAGAAATAACTATAGATAATATAGAAAAACAAATTCAGAATTGGAATATTCCTAAAGTTCCAGCATCAGTTGTCTACAGAAAATGAACTTTTGAATTTAAAAACAAGTTTTTCCATTAAAACCGTAGAACAAAGTATTTCTATCACCAATGAGTAGAATAGTTTCCAACTTCTTTCAAATCGAATGATACAAGACCACAAAAATAAGAGTTACAAATATTTGCATATAGGACTTGTCCAAACTGCTATAAAACCTCTTACGAATTGGTTTAAATAACTCGGTCCTTCTTTGCCTAAGGGACGAGCGACATAATAAAGTTCCAGACTCTCTACTAGGAATAATAGAATCAAATCTTTGTAACGGTCCTATATACTTCAATTGTTTCCCCAATTTTTTGGTAACCTTGACAGATCCTAACCTCTTGAAAGTTCTTACCTTAAATATAAAAACCCAAGGGTTTGATATGGATTCAGGATCCCAAAATATTGCTCTAGTTTATAGGATATGCTATAAAGTGATGAACACTTTATGCCTAAATGCACTTCAGATGGATACTAAAGGGCAAACAGTGTTTTTCCAAACTATTATGGAAAAATCTAATACTGTTATACCAAGGTCTATTTCCTGGTCTCAGATTAGACTCCTTGAAAAATGGTCTCTACACTGTGAAAATCAACAGTCTAGAACCCCAGTGAATTGAAAACCCGAACAAATAATAGAATACCCAGATGGGGATGTAGAAATACAATTTAATTCAAACAAACGGACTCGACTAAATATTTCTGAAGGCCCTTCTAGAATTCCTTCAAGATGCTCTACTTCTTCTGTTCCACAGTTAGAACATGAGCAAAATCATAGGAAACCAGTAGTAGAAGGATTGACTAGAACAAATAGTCAAGTCTAACAACCAGTATATAAAATATATGAACATAGTTCCCCAGATAAAGAACCAACGCCTTCTGACTTAGATTTCAATATCCTTACTCTCCAAGAAGATAAAATAGAAGAAAAAAATTTAAAATGGATAAAGAATGGATAAAACAAGACTTCATGTCTGATGAAAATAAGAACATCCGGGATTGGTACTTGGCTGAATTCCCCCAAAACCTATTAGATGTGTTGCATAAGAAATTTAATAAATTCATATTAAAACATAAGAGAAATATAAAGTTTATTTAATGGTTAAGATATATCCTAAGGGAAAAAGACATTAAAATCTCAGAATTTGGTCTTAAGACTGTTGAGAACCAGTATCAAATCTTTTATAGCACTTAAGGGGAAGAATTACAATACATTCATCCCCCTGAAAGAAGTTTTCAAATGAAAGGGAAATGTGAAGATAAACCCGAAGCTAAGGCTTCACCTTATAAAATTTCTCCTAAAGAAACGAATCACCATACACATAAAATAGATGTCATTCCACATCTAATTGAGCAGAACAATTATACTAATCTCTGCTTACAAACCATTGGAAGGCAGACAACTAGGATTGAAAATATAATAAGTAGACCACAGGAAAACCCGATGGATCATAAAAAATCGGAAGGGAAACAAGCTTTACTGTTTAAACCCCCTCCAACCATTAATAAAAGCCAGTTCAGCCTTCAAGGTATAAAAAAGAAGCATAATAATAAAGAATTAGTGGATGAGCTAGTTAGGAAACTAGCAAAGTCAAATATAAAAGAAAATGAAGTAACTTCTAAGACAAGCTCTGACCAAGGAGCTATGGTCCATCAACAAGAACCATTTCCTAATAATGAACTTGATAAAGTCGAACAAACTTTGAAAACAGAAAGTCTTGAAATAAACCGAATATACTATCGGAAAAAGTGTAGGCCTACTTCTCAAACAAGAATATACTATCCTAGGCCTACCCCTGTAGATCTCCAGTTTGAAGAAGATTTAATTACAAGTTTTATATCTTATTCTGAAAGATCAATTGTAAATTGAAATATTGATGGCATATCAAAAAACCAGATTCTTGATCTTATGAAGCATATGACCATGTATGCTACTGCGTGTAAGATAAGTGGAAACCATGACCAAGAAATAGCCAAAGTCATTATTTGTGGATTCACAGGATGGCTGAGAGGTTGGTGGGATTTCCACATGGATGAAAATACGAAAAATGAAATATTAACTGCCACTAAACAATGGGCAGTTAAAAATGAATTGGGTCAAGATATAATAAATAATGAAAGTGATGTAGTCAATACGTTAATATATACAATTACTCTCCACTTTGTAGGAAGTATCGCGTTATTAGATGCTAGATCAGAAGACATGCTTTCTAATTTAAGGTGTCCAACATTATCCCATTAAGAGTGGTACAAAGATGAATTCTTCTTCAGACTCTTTTCTAGAGAAGACAGTAAGTCTGACCACTGGAAATAAAAATTCATATCTGGTTTGCCTCATCTTTTTGTTGAAAAGGTCAAAATACGGCTAAAAAATAAACATGGAGGAATAATCCCATACTCTTTATATACACTAGGAGAATTGTCAGCAAAAATTTGTGCAGAAGGCCTTGCTCTCTGTATAGATCTAAAATTAAAAAGATAGCTTGATAAACAAAGAATGACTGGAAGAAAAGAATTAAGAGATTTTTGCGAACAGTTTGGGTTTAATACTTTGCCATCTTCCAGATATTCTGATAAAAAAAAGATATAAAATTAAAAAATATATCACTAAGGCAAGATCCAATAAAACTTCGATAAAAGAAAGATTTTCTAAAAAGTTTTCTCCCAGAAATACCTCTTTTAAAAACAAAGGAAAGAGGAAAATTCATGTTTGCTATAATTGCCGAAAAGTAGGTCATTATAAAAATAAATGTAGAATCAAGAAGAAAATAGATGCTTTACAAATAGATGACAGTATCAAAGAGCAATTGTTTAGTATATTACAAATTGAAGAAGAATCTTCTGAAAGTTCTTCTGATCCAGATACAAAAATGTTAACAAGAGAAATAGAGGACGAAGAATTGATTCTGAGCAGTTCAGACTCCGATATTGATAATATTGATACTACATGTTTTTGTAATACTCCTACAAAAGAAGAAAACCTAATCATAGATATAAGTGATAAAATAACTGATCTAGAGACTAAGCGAGAAGCGTTAGTCCAGTATTTAAACATAGCTAAAACAAATAAAAAACCTTCTAATCCTCTTGTACGTACTCAAGAAGATTACAGTTTTGCCAATATTCTTAGAAGAGTTAAAAATAAAAATAATACCTATAAAGAACCTTCCATCTCATAACTAAGACAAAAAATAAATGAGGTTCGTAATGAACTAATAAATCCGAAAAATAGTGTCCAGATTACAGAATATGCCTCTAATCCAATTGAAAATAGTCCTGTCAATACTAATGACGAACTAGAATTTAACAATATTATAAATGATTATAAGAATC